GTCTAATTTTTTATATTCTGCAGGATTAAATTTGAACATTAAATACAATAATAGAATCTTTTTGATTGTTGATGCAACGAAATGGAATCTTGATCTTCTAAAAAATTTCCTGAATGCAATATCAGGACAGGAAAAGAATATGATATAAAATAAAAGCAATAAAAACATTGCGAAATAAAAGAATTTTTTCTCGATTTTTATATTTAAATTGGCTAAAAATTGTTTTATGTTTATTTTAAATAAAAAAGAGGAAATTGCAGTATTGATGTAAGAAAGAGGCAAAAATTCATAATTAAAAAAGTCTTGGCTTCTAGATAATGCTGATAAACAAAGTTTGAAGATATTCTTAACGAAAATTGGCTTTGATTTTCATTCAGATGAAAGTCTACTTTTCATAGTAATTTCTTCATTTGTGAGTCGATCTTTATCTGAGCAAATGTATTCATATTTGTAGATAGTTCTTGTAAATAATACGGAAAACCAGACAACGAGAACAGAGAAAAAGAAGAAAGGTAGAATCCGGATCATATTCAATGATGCGAAAATCAAAAAGTCAAAAAAATTAAAATCAAGAAAATTGTACAAACAATTTTCAGCAATAAAAAAATAAAAGAAGAAAAAATTGTAGAGAGCTTTAAACTGTTTTTAAATGACATTCTGTTTTTTTCAGTAATTTTGAAAGCTAGATTTTACACTTTTAATAGCATTTTCGTAATTGAACCTGTTCAAATAAGGAAATGATTAATTCAATTTTGTTTTAATTTATGCTCTTCGCCGCGGCTATTCGTATCACCTATTTTACAAAACATTAAAAAGAAACTCCGTGTTGTGTATGATGTACAGTATATAATGCTGATCTGTTACGCTATTGCAAAAGGCTTTTTCGTTTTGATTTTCTCATAAACGAGTTGTTCAAATAAGGAGATCCTAAATTATGAAATTTATGTTATCTTCGCTGCGGTTATTCGTTAACCTTATTTTTACAAAGCTTCAAAATGAAACTCCGAATTATATATGAAGTGCTGATCTGTTACGTAATTATACGCGAAGAAAGGTCGTTTGATTAATTTTATCGTATTCAAATAAGGAGATAATTATTTGACTTAATTTATGTTATATTTAGCCACGGTTAAAATGAACATTATTATAACTAAATATGCTCTGTTATTCATTTTAAAAATTTTTATATTTATGCTATCTTTGTCTCAGTTATTCATATTACATAATCCTATATTTCTACAAAACAGCTTTTAATTATATAGCTTATTCAAATAAGGAGATAATTAATTCATATTTGTTTTAATTTATACTATCTTTGCTGCGATTATTTATATTACCTTATCTTTACAAAAATTTCAAAATGAAACTCCGAGTTATATACAGTATATTTTATGATAGCAATATAAACTATACCCTGATCTGTTATGCAATTGTACGCAAAATGATTTTGTTTGAATATATATATACACACATTAAAGTAAGGTTTTGGACTACAAAAATTTAAAATGACTATGGAAAAAATTCGTCAGGAAAAATTACATTTTAGAGATGTGAAAAAAACACTCTTGGAATTGTGTACTTGCAATAAATTTCTGATTTTTATATTAATTATTGAATTAATTATAATTATTGTAATTTGGCTGTTGAGTATATTTTTCTTTCTCCAATTGATGCATAGGAGCTCAAACTGATTTATAACAAATTATTTAACAGGGTCAAGAAGTTGCAACATTCATATTTATACATTGAGCCTTACGAGCCAGTTGTACATGGAGCTTTTGAAGACGACCTTTCAACTTTTTCGTACATATGTAACTCAATTTATGATTTTTTTGCCATATTTTTGAGTGGAAGCAGCGGATTTGGAAGTCCATATAATGATAAATTTCCAAGTCCATATTAATTAATGTTTGTTTTAATTTATAATTTATTATTGAAATTGTATTAGAAATGAAGTCTGTAAAATTATTTTATCGTTATGGCACAAGTAATCTATAATCGCTATCGCTATAGCTTTTTACACAAAAGGCTTTTGAAAAATTTCACATGATTAACAATTATAGATTACTTGCGCTATTATTGAGTTGAATGAAGAAACTTGTAATTCGAGTAGTTTATTATTTTTTAACAATTTGATCGAAGCAGAAAAGATTTGAACGCATGTCAAGCTATTGGTGATATTATAAAACAATTATTAGTTTAAAGAAGGATGTCGTGAGTTCGGACATAAAGATCATTATGGGTTTGTGTTGTTTTAAATATTATTCACTTTTCATGTTTTCTTGCGAATAGTTTATGGTAGTGTATTTTATAAAAGCTTGTATTGACAATTTTTGGAATATAAAATTATAAGTCAATAAAATTTTAAAATTTTAGCAATTCCGTTAATATAAATTGTAAACTATAAATCACAATAAAAAAAATTCTAACATCACGTGATATGATATAGTCGCATTATTTTATCTAGAGATGTGACCCGTTATTCACTGAAATAAAATCCAGTGAATATTCAATAGATTTATTAATAAATTTATATTCAGTGAATAACGGGTCAAATCTCTAATTTTATCATTTAACTAGGCTTTTTTAAATTCTTGTAAACGGAAAATCTAAATTTGGCCAAAATTTTAAATTAGGCAAAATTGAGATTATGCAAAACTTCGTTTCACGACATAAGCTTATTTAATGATTTTCATTAATTTTTCAAAAATAATTTCAGTCGAACTCTCTTAAATTTATACCTATTATAAGGTTAGTGTTTCATTATTTGTTTCCAAAACTGCTTAAAGTCTTAATTTATTTCATACTACATAAGGTCGACATGAGTGTTAGCGACGATGAAATCTTTAACGAAGAACTTGAAGATAAAAACTTTACGTACATACAGTTAAGGATTATAAGGTCTACATAGTAAATCGAATTTAATCCTGACCTTTTTTTTAGGGAAAAGAATGCAAAAAAAAAAGTAGACATTTGTAAAACATCAACAGAACTTTATTTGAACCGAATTCGTGGTTTAATTCCACCACTTAAATCTAACTTTCTGCCACTTAATTATAATATATCGACTTTACTAAATTTTAAAGCTGAATATAATGGAGAAACTTGGCACGAATATCTTAAAAATGTGGCTCAAATTTGTAAACAAACAAAAATAGATACAGATTGGCTGGAAATTTTTTCTGCTTACAATTATGCAAATGCAATAATTCAACAAACTAAAGATAAAACATTCACATTTGAAATTGACAGAGAAAAGAACCAAATTGCAATGTTCAAAGATTCTGTTCCAGTTTTTGCATTAGAAGAGCAAGCAAAAAGAGCCGAATTATAGCGAAAAAAGAATTGTTTTCTTTCATTGAAAATTTTGATCGAATCAGCTGAAAACGAAAATATTTCACATGAAGTAGTACTTCAAAAATTAAGTGATGTTGGCTTTACAATTCATTATTTGTCAAGAGTAAAATATACAATGTTCAAAGAAGTGGTCAATGCATTATTAGAAGAAATTAAGAAAAGTAAGAGTTAAACTTAGTATTATTAATTATTTAAAATTTAAATACGTTTTATGAAAGATTAATTACGGCATAAGGTTATTTCTAGCACTCAATTAAAAAAATTTTTTTAATTATTTTTAATAGTTTAGTTTATGACAATTTAGTTATGACATTAAGATTATTATGTTCAATTAAAGCTAAATTTTTTTGACAAATTTAATTATTTTTAATAAGTTTTTGGATCAAATATGATACTTTTAGAATCAATAAAATTTTACTAATTACGCTTTAGCTGCTACCAGAATTATGTCAAGTAGTTAACCTTGAACAGATAATATAAATATTCCACTATTATTTTAAACCGGTGAATATCCATAGATTTAAAGTAATCCATAGATTATTTATATTCTCTATTATTTATGGTTCTCATCACTGTCAAGAAATCAAACATTAAACTGAAATTTAAATCGGTTAATTTTCATCACTAACGTTCAATATTAGATCTTGAACTGCACCTGTTAGAGAGTAAATCTGTTAAGGAAAAAGAGTACAAACAATAACAGATATAGAGGTGCGATCCGTAAAATATTTATACATAAACTTAGTTTTTAGAATAAGATTTTCAAACGGATCGCACCTCTAAACAGAATAGCTCATGGATCGTACCTGTCAATGTTTCACAGCAGCCCAGCCTTACTTTCATGATAGATATAGTTAGCCCTTTGTACCAATAAGCTCTTGAATTGTACTTTTTTTTAATGTTTCACTGCCTTATCAAAGAGATATCAATTCCAAGAATGGAGCCCTTATCATTTAAGTGAAATGTGGTACGCAAATCTAATCCTATTAGAGAAAATTACTCACAAAACAAACTGATTAATAGTTAGCCGTGAATCAAAAAAAAAAAAAAATTCCAAGAAAAGCTCGATTATAGTTAGCTGTGGCAAATCCAATCTCTTCAAAAAAAAAAAAAAATCCTAGAAAAGCTCGTGAATCGTACCTGTCAATGTTTCACAGTAGCCTTATCAAAGAAAATTTCTCTTGAATCAACTTGTTAATGTTTTACTGCTTTATCAAGAAGTTACTTATCAAGAAAAAAATTCCAAAAATAGCTCGTGAATAAAAATTTCTCACAATAAATCTAAATTATTTTGCATTCTAGTTAAAAGTGGGTTATTAAGAGTATTTCTTGAATTGCACTTGTTAATGTTAAGGAGAAGTTCCCACAACACAAAAAATTATTGTTACGCCGTGAATCGTACCTGTCAACGTTTCACAGCAAACTTATGATAAATATTGTTAGACATTCATGATCAATTAAAAAAACATTCCAAGAATACCCTTTATCAAGGAGACATCTCCTTTGTGAAACCATAACAGATGCGGTATGCAAAGTCAATCTCTTTGTATCAAAAAAAAATTCCAACTGGAGGCATATTCCATTAAGAAAAAAATTCCAAGAATCGTATCTGTTAATGTTTCACAGCAGCCTTATTAAAAATTTCTCACAGAACAAGAATATATCTTGAATCACACTTGTTAATGTTTCAGAAAATTTCTCATGATAAATATTGTTAGCCGTGAAACCATAACTGATGCGGTACGCAAAGCCCTTGTATCAAACAAATATTCTAATAATAGTTCTTGAACGAACTTGTTAATGCACTGCATATATACATCAATTAAAAAAAAAAAAATTCTAAGAATCGCACTTGTTAACAAATGCGGAACGCAAAGCTCTTTGATAAACGGCATATCCCTAATGTTTTACTGCATTATCAAGAAGAAATCTATTATTAAAGAAGATAGTTAGCTGTGAAACCATAACAGATGTGGTACGCAAAGCCATTCTCTTTGTATCAAAAAAAAAAAATCCCAAGAAAAGCTCGTGAATCGTATCTGTCAATGTTTCACAGCAGTCTTGAATAGCTCGTAAATCGTATCTGTCAATGTTTCACAATTATTAAAAATTTCTCATAGAGTAAAATTATATCTTGAATCGCACTTGTTAATGTTTCACCGCTTTATCAAAAACCTGCCTGTTAAGGAGAAAGAGAAATTTCCACAAAAGTAATGCTACGCCGTGAATCGTACCTGTCAACGTTTAAACCATAACAGATACGGTACGCAAAGCCTTGTATCAAACAAATATTCTAATAATAGTTCTTGAACCGAACTTATTAATGCACTGCATATATACATCAATTAAAAAAAAAAAAAAAAATTCCAAGAATCGCACTTGTTAACAAATGTGAATCATATCTGTCAATGTTCAACAGTCTTATCGAAGCCATTTTAGAAAATTTTTCATGATTAATAGTTAGTTCCAAAAATAGCTCTTGAATCGTATCTGTCAATGTGAGTTAATAGCTTAGCTGTAACAAAAAAAAGTGTTGTGGTACTTGACATTGTAATACACGCTTAGCCGTGTGAAAAAATTATTTAAGATAACTATGTTAATGAGTGCGTAGCCGTGATTCTTATCCTATCAGGTCGGGTCTGGCCCATTTCTTGATCAGAATTAGTAGAAAACATGAATACAACCAAAAATTTTATCTTACACCAAAATATAAGAACGTCATTCAATTACTCAAGGGAAGTTAAATTTTGGTTATTTTTTTTATTATCTGTTCATATATTCACTTATACACTTTACTTTTTTTACGAATAATTATAAACCGGCCTATTTTTAAATTATTGGAGGCTGTATCTCGTAGACAAAAAAATTAAACCATCACCAACTTTTCTAAATTCTCAATAACGATCGAAGCTGTATATTGTACACTTCAAGATATTTAATCCACGCTGCCACTTCAAACAGCATGAAAACCATTTTAAAACTTGAACCATACTAAACAAGGGGAGTAATCACGTTTTGTCTTTTTGACTTTTCCATGTATTCACTTTACACTTTCTACAAAGAAATCAAAGACTGGTCTATTATTATTAGCGGAGCTGATGATGTTGGCCGACAATGATTATTTATAATAGATTAGTTAGTGAATGGAGCCAATGATGTTGGCCGTTCACTTCAATTAACAATGTCTTATATGATGAAAAAATTGCAACTGAGAGACTTGAATGAAAAAATTATATTATAAAAATGTGAATGGAGCTGATGATGTTGGCCGTTCACTTCAATTAATAATGTCTCATATGATGAAAAAATTGCAACTGAGAGACTTGAATGAAAAAATTGTATTATGAAAATTAATTGAAAAGATTAACAACACTTCATATTTTATTTAATCACTAGGTTCAAAATCTTCCTCCGCATAAATGAAAGCTTTTCTTGTCTATGCAATCTTGGAATAACTTGACCTAAATGTTTAATTCGTTGTTATATAAATAAAAATAAAATAATACAATATTCTGCATATTTTACCTTGGTTGCTTAATACTGCTGTAAAAATGTTCTCTCGATTCTCAAGAGTGTTAACTTGATTTCTAAGATTATTGATGGTTCTTCCGTTAATCGCTTGTTCATACTCGAGATCACGACAAAGTTGTGTATTCTCTTGTTCTAACTCTTGTATCCGAGCTAAAAATTGCATTTTTTCATTATAAAGTTCTCTTATTAATCGAGATGCAGTCCTTTGGGTGGTTTGAAGCTGTCTTATCCGTTCTCTGAGATGGCCCCTTTCCTCTATAATTGTTTCTAAGGCTCTCAATTTTACTTCCAAATCTTCGCCTGTTATTCCGTTTTCCCTAAAAAAAGTTTCGATTCTCCTTTTTTCCCTTCGCAAAAATTCTACGTGTCCTGTTAAAAATCGTTCAAGATTTTCATTAGGAGTTAGGTTATCAGAGCGTGTATGTCTGTGAGTTCGTGGCATGAATTTTTTTTCTCTTTAATGACCATACTTTACAATATATATACTCGAAATAAATATACAACTAGTTTCAACTTTAAACTTTATCTGAAAATCACCTAAAATATAATAATTTTAATAAATAGAATTCATATAATGCAAGCTCTCGAATAAATAAATTAATATATTAAATGCATATCAATATTTTTTTATACTGTCGATGTATAATACAATTCAAAAGAGATTACTCCCAATTCTTGTAGCGATCAGGATAATCAAAATAACAGAAGAAATGGGGAAATGGTAATAGCTTCCAAACATATAATTGGTGATGGTGGCTCTTATTGTACTACGTACTGTATGTACTGTACGCTGATATTAGTATGTTTCGTTTTATATGTATTCAAAAAAATATTGACTATAAAAATGATAAAATATTTTTGTATCTATTTATTTATCGAGAAATTTAAGATGTATAAAAGCGAAACTATATTCTACACGTGACTTTTTGAATATTAGTATATTAGTTTAAAAATTTTGTGCATATATATGTGCACCGCAAAGGAAAAAACCTTATTATCGTTATATATTTTTATAATAAAAATGAATATACGAATCATTAAAAAATAATCATATAATGCTGTGTATTTTCCTATAACAAAAACAAAGAAAAAAATGAAATCCGATTTTGTGATATTTTTTAATTCCAGCCAAGGCCGTTCAAAGTTGATTATTAGTTTAACGTCAATATTTTTGGCTCAGGCACGGGGGGGGAGGGGAGGAATTTAAACAAACACATATATTCCCAAAAATATTTGATTAAATCTCATTGGCCAACCTTAATCACATGATTAATGAAGTTTATGCTGTGCTGTGATTGGCTTGTTTAATTTCCGGGGGACAGTTAACCGAGGGGGGGATGACGTTAAACTAATTATCAACTTTGAACGGCCCAAGAGCACATGATTACGGCTAACTCAATGCTAATTCTGGCCAAAATCGAAATGAATCGAAATTTTTGCTTAGATGTCATTAATATGATATACTTTAAGATAATAAATTTTATTATAAACATATTCAATGAAACATGATAAAAATATTAAAATTCTATTTCCTTGATTTCTCTTGTCCATTCTTAATTCCAACGGATGTAAGTCTTGGGACATTGTTCGTGCTCATAGTGATATTTAGCCTTATATTTTTTCGAACAATTAGGACATTTGATCTTTCTTTCCCATTTTTCACTTACGATTTTAACCGACGGCCATTCATCCACAAAAATATTATATTTTTTGTCTACGAAATTACACTTGATTAAATCTTCACCTCATGGGAAAGGGAGATTTGTCGGTTTGGCACCCCAACCGTCTTCTCGATCTAAAGTAAATACTGTTATCATCATTCGTAAAATTTCGTAAATACGAAAGAAAATTATTTAAATTTGCCTTACGAGGCATTGTTAAAAATAGGTAATTTTGATATTAGTACAATGCGTGTTTGTTTTTTTTGTATTTTGGCTATAATATGACAAAAAATCAACTCTATCAAAATTTTAATGTATAAAAATAACGCAAGAATCGATCATATATATAATAAATTTTAACTCTTGGAAATTATTAGGTGGGCCTTCTCCTAATATATACCAAGCATTTAAATTATTTCGTTTCTATGGATATAAAAAAATTTATACGCGCATATGAACAGATTAAAGAATTTTATTATAAATTGTAATGTAAATTTAAAATATTGCATAATTTTTTTTTTACGTATTTTAGTGTTTAACACAATATACTCAGTACATAAAATCTTTTAATCATATCTGTTTAATCGCATCGATCAAATTCCAATATACAAGGATTTATATATGCCACGATTTTTAATGTACAGTTTATATTATATAAAGTTGACTTATTTCTAATACCCAAATTGATACATTATTATAATTTATACATAAAAACGGATAACAATAATCATCTAATGTTATTGCATAAAAACCAGGATGAACTTATACATTACTAATTTATACATAAAAATGGATAGCGACCCCTAGATCGCCACCAAGATCAGGCATAACATTACAGGATCAGGAAAATTCAAAACAAACGTTCTCAAGAAATGGGCATATCAAATCACCTTCTGCGAGCGATTTTACAATAAAAACACTCCAACCCTAACATAGGTACTCACCCTAACCCTAACTTAACATAAAAAAGCTTAGCAAATTTTGTTCTTGGTCATGTGCAGATAGAATTTGGCGATACAGAGGAAGATGATTTAAAGTATAAAGCCACGTGATATATATAAATTCATATCAGTATAATAATTATATTGGGACCTCTAAGGGATGTGACAATATAGTCCCATCCACTTTTTTAAATGGGTTCTCATATAATAATATTACGTAAATCAATATTATTTTATAAAACGAATGCCTCCAATAAATAGGGGTAAATCGAGTGGGAATCCTAAATGCCCAGTATGTGGTAGTCATTTTAAATATTTAGAAGCACATATCACGAGGATTCATAGAACTACATTATCAGAGTTACAACAACAACGAAATATTTCAACACAGAGAAGACCTGAAGAAACTACTAACTCGCACAAGAAACACCCAATCTTCGTAGGGATGCTTCAGAACAATTGGCACAAGAAAATACTACTAACTCGGCTGATTATTTGACACCTAATTTGTCTCAAGAACCAATTTCTATAAGCGATGAAAATTTTATTCTTGATAATCAGATTAGCAGAATTGTTTTTACCCATTCAACATTTAATAAATATACTTTTAATTTTCCAAATTGATAAGCTTTAATTGAGATATAATATTGTATTCTTTCTTTCGGAATTTTGTGGTAGAACCATGTTAGCATTTCTCATATTTTTTTTAAATTCCGACATTATGATTTTATCCAATAATCTTTTAACTATTAGGCTTTTTTATATCATAATTAATTTATATGGTCTAATGGTGGACAAAATCTAGTCAAGTCAATTTTAACCTGAACCTAACGGACAAAATTATCGCAGGTAGAATCATGTGACAAATTCTGTCTTCAATTTTAAATTGTGACAATAAACAGATATAAATTTTATTAAGTAAAAAATTTATGAAATTCTATAATTGAATTTAACTTTAAACTAGAGTGTTTTTTTTTAAAAATTTGGCTTGAATACATTCGGAATTACAGGGATAATTACTTAGTTAATTGTCAATGACTCATATGAATTTTTGATCTTTTTTTGGAGCATCACGCAAGCCAAATAAAGTTAATATTATTTATGTAAGTACAATATTTTTTACAACTTAAATTAGATTAATATTCGGTAAATCATAAAGTTGACTCAGCAACTGAGTCGGATACAAAAAATTACACATGATTTGTCAATACTATAAATTTATCGACTGACTCTTGGTAGTTCAAAATTTTCAATTAACATTTTATTCCTAATTTCACAAAAACGAATAAATCTTAATGTCAATATATGATATTTTACAATAATCAAGTTTGAATTACACGTGATTTGTCAAAGCAAATAAAGTCATTATATAATTTAATAAAATAATCGGTTCATATCGAACCAATAATTTTTTAAGATCAACTTTATTTGGCTTACTCTATATAATCTGTAATCAAAAATTACAAGAACAGGTTTTTTGATATTGTTAATTTTGGTGACTTGATTTATATATACATTAATTTTATTATACAATACGTATACGTAATCCGGGTTTAAATATATAGATAAAGTAAATTGTATAAAAAGCATTTAATTTCTATAATGAATTGAACTTTAAATTAGAGTGGCTTTTTATGTTAATATTAACTTAAAACCAGTTATATATAAAAAATTCATTTGATATCGATATTGTATAATTCAAAAGAGATCAATTGTTATGGCCCATAAGAATTTTCAATCTTTTTTTGGAGCATCACACGATTTCTATCAGATTATATGATTGATAAAATTTGTCAAAAACTTTGTATACCTTTGAAGTAAAATAACACATGACAAAGAAGTTTAGTTACTAGTCTTGGCAGTAGATGATTGTGATTAGACACCGAAATACAAAGAATTCACAATTTTAAGAATTATTATATATAAAAAATAAAGATTATCTTACATGGGATTTCGTCAAAACTTTTGACTGACAAATCTATTGACTGACCCCTTAATGTTCCTTAATGTTCTTCTATTGTTGGTTACATTGTCAAAATAGATTATTGCACACGAGCAAGTTATTTTGAAGTACGAAATTTCATGTGATTTGTCGAATAACAATCAGCAATTTACTAAACACGTGTATGAAGAAACTGTTTTATAAGTCAGTCTATGCATTTGATCTTTTTTTTAAAAAAAAATTCAAGAATCTCTACTTACCGAAATGGGTCGTATTCGTAAAAATGAAGTTTCAGATGATTATTTATCAAAACATGAATATGAAGATTATAAAAAAAAATTTCCTGATTCTTTAAAGCAGGGTGTCCCATTTTCTAATCAATGGAAGATTCATGGAGAACTTGGAAAGATTAAAGAAGAAAATAAATTTACAACCGCGTTTTTTAAGGCTGCACAAATTTATGCCAACAGTATAAATTAATCTTATTCTTTCTAATAAATTTTCTTATACATATTATAAATATTTATATTAACATTACTAGATCGAGAATCAAAAATTTATAATTCCAGCCCCCGATAGCAGTTCAAGCAGTTCACGATTCAGAAGATCCTCTATAAATTCTGAAGAATTTGACAATGATCTAGATCTGACAGCAAGCAGTTCAACACCTCAAAACCAAATTACTATCGATGTTGATAATTATTCATCTGATGAGCAACCTTCAGATGAACGATAGTTAATCACTAACCAAATTGATAATTATTTATCTAATGAGCAACCATCAGATAAACAATGGTTAATCATTAAAGTTCCAAAACCAATACAACAACCCGTGGCTACTAATTCTACTAATTCTTTACAATCAAAAACATGCTCTAATAAAGGACAATGCCAAACACAAACAATTACAAATGTCCTTCCACGCAATAATGATCAAAAATATAAAAACTTGAAAAAAATTTTAACCGCAATCATCTCATTATCAATTTTAGCTCTTTTTTGGTACCATCAAAAGGTACATATTACATATAAAATATATTTACACATTTATTTCTTTGCGCTAACAAAATTTATTTTAGACAAATAGCACTATTATTAGTAACCTAATCGAAACAATTAATGTCGAGGTTTTCAAAAAAGAAGTTTTAAAGTTTTCACTTATAAAAAAAAAAAAAACAATAAATGGCATAAACTGTTTATATTATTTCTAGTATAACCTTTGAAAAAATGCAAAATTTTTTGAAACTGAAAATAATGCATTGAAATATGAATTAAGCAATTTAAAAACAAGATATACTGATTTAGAAAAGAGTATTACCAATTTAAAAGAAAAGCTCGTTGCTTCTAACGAAAGAAAAATTATCCTTGAATCACAAGAAACTGAATTCAAATACACAATTAAAAACCTTAAAGACACTATCAAAGACTTTGAAGCTACTATTAATGTTCTCAGAAATAACGAAATAAATCTCAAAGTGCAATATAAAGAACTTTCAAGAGAATTAACTTTGTTAAAAAACAAAAATGAAGAATCCGAAAATAGAAAAAAATAATTAAAAATAAAATCAACAAGATAGTTGAAGATCATTATCAGTTAATAAATACAATAAATGAATTACAAAAAAAAGGAAAATGAATTAAAAAATAAATGTGAAAAGGAAAAGCAAAAAATTCAAAATAAATTAGATGAATTAGAAGAAGAAAGAATCAACAAAATAGTCGAAAATTTAAAAGGAGGATGTAATTAACTCAAAAGATTAGAAATATAATGTAGCTGGTTTATAATTTTTCATAATATTTTTTCTTGTTTGTTTTTTTTGATTAATATAAAAAACGTTCAAATAAAGTTTTACCGTCTTTTATCTTATAAACTTTATTAATAATCTTTTTTTAGCAGTAAACATCATAATTGAGCTTGTAAAACAAATTTAACGAATCGGTTGTTATATTCCCATTTTAAAAAATATCATTTTTGCATCTAAAAGCGTAATACAGTATTGCAAACCTTAATGGTGATGGCTAATCAACATCACGTAAATGGAACCAGGAATGATTTGAATAATTTTTCTTGGAAAGAAAAGCAATAATGCAGAAAGTCGCGAGTAGTATGCATTATTTTTTTGAAAGCTCTATATTTTTTATTATTTATTTTGTTAAAGTGATTTTAATAAAAAAATAAAACAGTTCTAGAGGTGTAGACATAATGGCTGACAAATGTACCAGCTCCGAATTTAGAATTCATGCATAATAAATATAAGCATGGAGTTATTATCAATATTAATTATCTGAATTCGAAATAGATTATTCTGAGTACGTAATCGAAATAATTTCAAAATTAGATGAGAAAGAAATTTTAAATGAACAAGTAAATTTTATATAATTAAAAATTAAATAATATGATTTAATGTGATTGTTATTCGTTTGAGCTAGTAAAACATATTTAACGAAATTGATTGTTCTATTCCCAATTTAAATAATCACTTTTAAACCACGTTAACATAGCTAGTAATGCCATTTATATGAAACCTGAAAAATTTTAGCGTTCAGCATGTACAGTACGTATAGTACTGTCACATTATTTTTTAAAAATGCGTTATTCCGTGCCTATTCGAAATGAATTGTCCTAAGAAGCTCATAATCGAACAATTCTAAAATTGGATGAGTACAGATATAATTAAAAATTAAATAAACATTATTTCCTGATATATTTAATATTTCAGTTAAAAGAAAATAGTTCTATATTGATAATTTTTATTAAAATATTTCAAATTAACATTATTTATTTTAATTACAAATTTGATACCAATAGCAAATGCAAAAAATCCAAAATATAAAACTCAAGTAAAAGACTAATAAATATTGTGATGATAACAAACACAAATATGTGAAGCACGAATTTTTTTTTTTTTTTTTTTTTTTTTTTTTTTTTATTAATATAATGTCATAGTAGAAACTTTATTACAATAAACCTATATTAATCTAGAG